CAGAGATGGTTCAACATCCTCAAATAAATCAACATGATACACTACATTAACAAAATGAAGAATAAAAATCACATGATCATCTCAATAGATGCAGAGAAAGCATTTGACAAGATACAGCATCCATTTATGATAAAAACCCTGAATAAAACGGGTATAGAAGGAAAGTACCTCAACATAATAAGGGTCATATATGACAAACCCACAGCTAATATCATTCTCAATGGAGAAAAACTGAAAGCTATCCCCCTAAGAACAGGAACCAGACAAGGATGCCCACTCTCACCACTCTTATTTAACATAGTATTAGACATCCTAGCCAGAGCAATCAGGCAAGAAAAAAGAAATAAAATGGATCCAAATTGGAAAGGAAGAAGTGAAACTGTCACCATTTGCAGATGACATGATTTTATACATAGAACACCCTAAAGAATCCACCAAAAACCTTTAAGAAATAATAAATGAATATGGTAAAGTTGCAGGATATAAAATCAACATACATAAGTCAGTTGCATTTCTATACACTAACAACGAAGTAGCAGAAAGAGAAATTAAAAATACCATCCCATTTACAATCACAATAAAAAAATAAAATACCTAGGAATAAACTCAACCAAAGAGGTGAAAGACCTGTACACTGAGAAGTATTAAAACATTGTTGAAACAAATTGAAGAAAGACACAAAGAAATGGAAAGATATTCCATGCTCTTGGATTGGAAGAATTAATGTAGTTAAAATGTCCACACTTCCTAAAGCAATTTACAGATTCAATGCAATCTCTGTCAAAGTTACAATGACATTTTTCACAGAAATAGAACAAAGAATTCTAAAATTTATATGGAACAACAAAAGACCCCGAATAGCCAAAGGAATCCTGAGAAAAAAGAACAAAGCTGGAGGTATCATACTCCCTGGTTTCAAAATATACTACAAATCTGTAGTGACCAAAACAGCATGGTACTGGCAAAAAAACAGACACACAGATCAATGGAATAGAATCGAAAGCCCAGAAATAAACCCACACATCTATGGACAGCTAATTTTTGACAAGGGAGCCAAGAACATACAATGGACAAAGGAAAGTCTCTTCAATAAATGGTGTTGGGAAAACTGGACAGCCACATGCAAAAAAGTGAAAGTAGACCATTATCTTACACCATTCACAAAAATTAACTCAAAATGGATTAAAGACTTGAATGTAAGACCTGAAACCATGAAACTTCTAGAAGAAAACATAGGCAGTATGCTCTTTGACATCGGTCTTAGCAATCCAAAATATATAAAGAACTCATACATCTCAACAACAAAAAACCAACAACCCAATTAAAAAATGAGGAAAAG